TGGCAGGGAAATTGTTACTCATACACCCTTTTAATACCTTTAGTATTGTGTGTGACAAGATGTCTTGTGTAATCTGGGTGTAATACTGAAAAGCTTCTATTTTACTTCAAGCTATTTGGTTTGACTGCACATTAAAGAACTTTCTCTGTCACAGACCATGTTTTAATACACTCATATCTTTAAGTAAGGACAAATATTAAATATTTGGTATTTCTGTTCAAGTACATATACTGCAAGCTCAATGTTTAGTTGCATAATTGTAACATGCTTGTTGTAATGGTATTCTCTCTCTCTTGCGGATGTGCATGTGCATGTGTATTTGTATGAACAGGAGGAAACGTCTGGGGAGAAAGTGAGCGATGCCACAGCAATAAAGCTGTATGGTCAGGTTCCCCCTATAGAGAAGATGGATGCTTCTCTCTCCACACTCACCAACTGCGAGTGAGTCCTGCAGTAATACGACAACAATTCAGTTTGATGTGTTTAGTGTGTTCTAAAGGAAGGGAGGAGTAGACGTTCTTTGAAATTTTATCTTTTTAATTTCTAAACCAACAAACTCCTAGTTTGAATGTGAAGCAATGGAATTATCCCACTTGAGCTCATTAATTGGAGTTCACATCTGAAAACGGCATGTGTGGAAAACTGTGATTTGATCCCACTGTCATCTAACATTAAAGCTAAGACAGGATATTGTGGTTTCACCTCAAACTACACTTCCATGTTGTTTTCACCCTGGTTTAATTCCCCTGAAACCAAACTATCCGTGTCACTCAAACAGGGATAGTTGTATTAGTTCCGACATAATTTGCCAAATCAATAGACCCATTTAATGAGTGGCCCAAACTTCATTCATGCAAATCTGATAGCAGTCAATTCAAATGATGATTTCATATTCAGTACGCCAGCCCTATACCCACAGAACGTGTAAATGTGCATATCTCAGTGCATGAACTGTATATTGAGTTTTCTTGACTGTAGATCAGTCAAGAGGAAGCAACTAAGCCAAAAATTTAGTAAAAACTGCTTCAGTCACTAAAATCAGACGTACATATCATCTTTCGAAATACCTGAGAAATGATCTGTACCGTATCCCACACAGAAAACTGTCTCTGTCCACAAACTGCATAGAGAAAATAACCAACCTAAATGGCCTGAGTGAGTACCGACTTTATAAATACACAAATTCACAAACACAAACTCTGCTCATGCATGGTAAAGATGTGTTGTAATCTGGTATTTTATTGTTTCCCTTCAGAGAACCTGAGAATATTGTCATTAGGTAGAAATAACATAAAGGCACTAACTGGGCTGGTAAGTTACTGTTTTACTGTTTCATTATTTCCCTCTTTTACTTATTTCCTTATTTTGGTTTTCATGTCTTTCTTGTCACTGTTTATTTCACTTTCACTTTTTTAGTTTGAGAAATGGTTACAACTGAGGGATGGGTGATATAGCCTCAAAATTATATCACGATATTTCAAGGAAATGTGCGATAATGATATGTATGACGATATAGAAAAAAAACTTTTATGTGTGATTGCATCATGTTTGGGCTTGTGGAGTTGTTGTGCACGCTATGGAACGTAAATGTGTCGTTGCGTTGCTTTATCAATAATATCGCAATATGACACTTTTTTATCACGTGCAAATTTATACCAGTATTATCGTGGTATGATATTCACGGCCCTATTACACATGCTAAATAGATACTTTGAATGTACATGATATTGCATCCATTGTGTGTCTGTGCTGTGTGTGCGCGCAGGAGGCAGTAGGAGACACCCTGGAAGAGTTGTGGATCTCCTATAACTTGATAGAAAAACTGAAGGGAATCCAGTGCATGAAGAACCTGAAAATCCTCTACATATCCAACAACCTGGTGAAGGAATGGGGTAAGCTCAGTCAGAAATAGAGGATATGTCAGATATCAGCCTTCTATTCCTTCCACTGTGTGTAGCTGTCATCTTAAACCTTTTTAATCTGGAAGCACAAAACTGTTTATATTGAATATAATCCTTATCAGAATTGAAGGTGTGACACAATGCCAAATGCTTAATTCAGAGCAGTAAAGGTTTTTCAATTTAAGAGTAACCTTATTCGTTAAAGTTTGCACTCTTCAATTAGTTGATGATGAGGATGTCTTTTCTGTTTCATGTAGGAGAGTTTGTGAGGCTAGCTGAGCTACCGTGCCTTGCAGACCTGGTGTTTGTTGGAAATCCCCTGGAGGAGAAGCATTCAACTGAGGGCACTTGGATGGATGAAGCTTCTAAAAGGCTTCCTAACCTGAAGAAACTAGATGGTAAGAGTGTTTCAGGGATAATTCCCTCGCTCATAACGTATATAACTAACCATTCCACGAGATTTCAGGGTATGATGCATAAGACTGTAATCATGTCTAATGATTTTCAACAATAACTAAAATGAATTGCTAGCATAGCCCAGAGAGTTTTTTGTCAAGGCATAGAGCATGAAAACATGAAAATCTAATACTAAATGAAAATGAAAGCATATTAACTTAACAAGATGGGGAAGATCTTTAAGGAAAGATATTGTTTTCCCATGATTGAAACCATCTTGGAAAATAGATGATCATTTTTTTCATGAGAATAAAGACTTGTAAACGTAACTAAAATTACTAAATTTGAGATTTAATGTCTTTTCATGTTCTTTCAAGGAACCCCAGTCATTAAACAGGAAGCGGAAGAAGGAGATGAAGAAAGCTGAGAAGCATGAAGTTCTACAAAGTTACAAGCTCCTAAGAGTTTTCCCCTGGAATCTATTTTGTACGTCATTGGTTTTGTATGGTTTGTCATGTTGCTGTTCTTTATATAAAATGTGATTCTTACAACAGCAAACCTGTTGAAGATCAAGAAGCACAACAACATTTACAAATACAAATACACAGAATGTGTATAATTGAAAATAAGAAAGGGTTTTTAAGACAGGAAAAGCACATATCTTAATGTTATTTACAACTTTAGCATTATAATTCGGTTTTTTGCTAATCCTTCAAAACAAAAAGAATTTCAAAGCTTATATTTCATAGTATCCTTGATTTTATATACATCAACCCTTATAGACAGAAGTAAAGCACAGCATAGCACACACATTAGTGAACCTGACTGTTCTCAGTTCATAACACGTCCACAGAGAAAAGGCCAGTCACAAACACCGTTAAAATGGATTATTGTTCTTCATTTACATGTCATTTTGTATCAACGACATGACATTTCCAGCAAATAGTTGCATCTTGCTATGGTACCATTACCTAAACAGCACACAGTGTTTTCTTAGTTATCTGAATTCAGGATTAGTTGAAATTGATTTTACTCAGGTAGTAAGTAGCAGCATTAAAACAGAAGGTTAAATTTGTGTCTACTCCATTTCTAATGGTGACCATCTAAACTTACATGATCAAAACATCCACTGTTTCGTATGGTACTGTGTTGTTTGACATCTGGCTTTATACTGTAATACTGTGGTCACACATATATGTCTAAATGTGAGTGTATTCTGCTCTAACATGAGCATGCATTGTAATAACAAATAGTGTCTATTATTTTGAAGGGCAAAAAAGGGCAATGTTTTAAATGTATTTTCATGTTTAAATTATTATATAGGACATGTTTCTACTTAAAGTTATGAGATGTTTATGATTTTAAATGACTTTGATATTTTTAAATAAATGCTTTTTATGCAACATAAGGTCTTCTCAGTCTCACTGGAAACATTACAATAATCTTATTAATCTGTTCACATGTAATAGCATTTAAGGGATATAACAATTTTGTAATTTAGAATAGATAGCTTTGTCTGTGAGTTATTCATATTTAGTTTTATTGACACAACTTAGATACAAAATACATTCAAGAAATGTTGAGAAAGAAACCGGTAATGGTTTCTGTGAAAACCACACTCAGATAGAACCAAAATAAATAAACGAATACTACATTTTCTAAATCACATATTAGTACATAACTGAAAAATAAGAGGGAGGAATATATAGACCAATGAAAAGTAAGTCCCGCCCATCTTTTTCTGAATTACCTTTATGATTGGCTAAGTTAAACTTCCGTTTCTTTCGCTGTCCTGGCAACGGCCTCACACGCGGAAGTTGTCATCGGCGCGAAAAACAACTGAAGCTCAAAGCGGAAGGAACTGAGGACCAGTTACCGGGACTGAGTCCACAGCTGAGGGGACGGAAACCTGTTGTGTGTCTGTAGTGTGTCTGTAGTGTGTCTGTAGTGTGTCTGTGTTGGTTGTGATGCAGCGGAGTAAGGCGTCTGTGAGTGTGGAGGTGAAGCAGGTGATCGGGGCTCTGTGCAGGCTGCTGGCGGCCGCCGGGCTGGACTCTGTCCCAGCACCTGAGACCTTCAGACGGGCCAAATTCAGTGGTGGAGCCGAGGTGGTGCGTTTCTGTTGCTGTTGTCGCTGCTGGAATAACTAGAACACATGTCCTCTTATACTGTACCTATAAGGAACACTAATGATACTTCTACTTCCGTTCTGCTGCTCTTCTACAATTTAGAGAGAATTATTCTACTTTTTACTAAACTACATTTCTTTTACAGCAACTACTAGTTATTTCGTAGAGAATTATTTTACATTCAAAACTATATAATCGCTTTATATGCAACAAATTGTACACACATTTGTATTTAATGTTACGTTATAGCCAGAGTCATGATAACGCAGTATTCACCACAGTCATATTTTATTCTGATGTGTTCCAGGAAGGTCAGTTTTGGAAGCTCCTCGCCAACATCCTCCAGAGAACTGGTATTGTTTCCTCTGAAGACAGCTCACAGATAAGAGGAGGTCAGGAACATGTTTCTTTTGTTACATTATTATTTACACCCTTTGTCCCGGACTGAGGTGATGTCCATGTCATCTGGATTGGTTCAGTTTGAAAACACAGCATGTTTGTTTGGCCAAACTCTTTATTCACTTGTTAAGTGAGAATATCATGATATATTATATATTATATACAATTGATTAATACGATTGTATGGAAATTGTAACCATATCAACATATGAAATGACCAAAGTCATGCTCAGTACATTGAGATGTGTTCTTCAGACAAAATGTCAAACCAAATCTGATGTTGCTAAAGGAAGCCTAAGGCCACTTTGTCATGATTTTACAACTGCTCAGTCTTGGAAACCACATCCGAGGAAATAATTCAGCGAGCATTAACAGGTCAGACACATGGGATTTAAACTCAGAACACATAGATGTATCTACACGTTTCTAAAATACAGATTAAGCTTTTTGATATTAAGCTTTTTTTTTTTACAATTAAGAGCTTTGGCGAGAGGGTGGATTGGAGGGGTGGGATGTACCAGTTGTATATTTTCAAAGTAAAGCCTGCTCTGGCTTGCATCTCCTGGATTACCAGCCCTAGCATTAGGGCGAGAGGGACTTACAAGGCTTTTTGACAAAATTTGATGTAATTAATCTATATCTGTAGAAACCTGGGAAACTAAATAGACTTTCCAATACAGTTCTTTGGGTTTGAACAAGGCTCGTCTATACAGTGAACATATGAGAATGTTTTATTATTTTATAATATTTGTATAGATTTGTCCATGTTGTGACTTCTTTGACTTTACTTCACACACCATCATGAATATACCTGTTGGGACTTTGTGACACTAAATAAAACAAATGCAGTGCTGCTCCCTCATCTTAACGGAAAAGCAATTGAGTGAAACTACTTAGAGTGACTTGCTGAGTTACGGTATGTGTTTTCCTCTGTGTATAGACTCGGAGCACAGGAAGCTGGTGGCTGCCGGCCTCTGGCACACTGGTTACCATGCTGACTGGATGTGTGGGAGGGAGGCGGGAGAAGATGAGGAGGGGAAGAGTTTGTCCAGCAGAGATCTTCTGCTGGCCCTGGGCTGGCTGCTCGCTACAGGGACACTAGAGAAACTGCTGACACAGAGAGTTCAGCAACTGGACAAAACCCTTCTCACATCTCTACCTGTAAGTAGAACTGTATACTGTAACACCATCCCAGTATATCTGTAAACCCAAGTCTGTATTTACACATTTTCAAATCTCCACCTCTGTTTGTTAGGTCAATACTCAGGTCTCTCATGAGCTCCAGTTAGACTTGACCTCCCTGAGGAGACTTCAGTGGCTCGTTGGCTATCTGAGACACCAGAGGCGGATCCTGCTGTCCATGATAGAAGAGCGCGCCCAGTTACTTCATGCTGTGAGACAATCCTCTTTTCCAAGTTACTGCTCCATTTTTTTCCAGCAAAACGTTCAGAGTTCATCACATTACCCTCACAAACAATAGCCAATGTGCATTCAAGAGCTTTGGACCTCGATAACTTAAACTCCCCATGTGACAGAATTAGCTCATTAACAGTCTTCTATCAATAAATTCCTTTGGCCACATTTCTTTCTAAGTTCTTTCATTGACATAATCATAAAAGTCATAGTGACTCTCTTTTCAGGATAACGTTATATTGTGTGTCCATAAGCCTTTACAATAAAGGGAATAAGCACCAAACCAAACAATGTGGGCTTTTAAGGTTAATTATAATATCTATTAAAGGTACTGATCTAAAACTCTTAACTTCTCAGGTTTTTTCTGCCGGTCTCCCCTCAGCTGTATCTACCTCCTCCGATGTCAGTTCTAGGGCACTGAAGGATGTAAGTGTGGTTTGTTTGTTGTTATATAATTACTAATACTATGTTCTTCTTTTAAATGGATTTATAGTCAGATACCTAAATATATATACTTATTTTCTTTTAATTTACTTATGTTTGGTATTAGTAATTGTGTATTTATTGAAACAAGTCCATGTAATATGTTTGAATATATATCTGTCGGGTGACCATCGCCTACTATTTAAAGCTATGGTTGGTAATCATGAAAAACATAGCGAGGACAGGCAACACTTTGAAAACATGCAACAGACATTAATGTAGATATTAAAATGTTATTCTGCTAAAGATTTCTTTATATTACTAAACAAAATGTTGATTTTCACAGCCATGAGTGAGTCTACTTACTTTTTTAACCAGGAGTCTTTTTCAACCAGTTGCCGTACTGTGTATTATAAGGTGTGTATTTTTTCTAGGACTGTGTTTGTATGAAGCATCTCTGTGACCTCCTGGAAACATATCTGAACTGGAAACAGGTGGAGAAAGTCTTCTGGACCTGGATGGTGAGTTAAACACATCAACACAGGAAAACAAGAGCAGAATTCAACACAGCAGTGGTTTTCTGACATTGCGCTTCGACGGACATAAAAACAGGTGCACATTCCTTGATGTATCTTGCTGAAACAAAATCATAGAAAAATTGTACATCTGCACTAAAGGGGCTGGTTCACTGTCATGTTTTCTTTCATAACCCAGGCAACAGTTTCTCCACACAGTGTCCTACCATATGGTAGCCATGTGTGCCAGGAAATGTGATGCTAACCATGTGTGTGTGTGTTATGTGCAGGACAGTGTGGTGGACTGCCATCTGACAGAACCTGTTGTTAAGACGTCTGTACATACACCCCATGTGTGTCACCACAGAAACCAGGGACGAGAGAAATTGGACGACATGCTATCGAGACTGCCCACAGCACAGGTGTGAAACACACACATTGTTTATTCCTACACAGATCATTACCCAATGCTTTTGAACAGATCCTTGCTGAACACAGTTACTGCTGAAAGTGAAAGCCTATGAACAGAGGCAGACTTAACCATTAGGCAAAGGTCGGCAATTGCCTTCGGCCCCGAATTACCAGGGGCCCCATAATGAACTTATTGATAAGTTAATATACTTTTTCGTTTAGTAATCATTTCTTTCTAAATCCATTTGCTAAAACGGCATCAGAATGCCTATATTTCACAAGTAACCAGTGTCCTTGCAACCCCCCTTTACAATGGACTATTCCATGAGCGTGACCACAGAGGAGATTCAGGGTGTAAACAGCCTGACGAGAGGTGTTGCACCAGTTCACACCTAAAAAGAACTCGTTCACTTCATACAGATGAAAATTAACACGTTCATGTTCATTTGTTCTGTTTTTTATTGGGATTTTATAGATGATGATCATGTGTTTAGTAAAGAATCGATGGTGTCGGATCATGAATCTGTGTCGCTCCAGTCACTTAAACACTGAGTCCTGTGTGTCGCCTCTCATGTTGTACTAAGCGCACACATTATGTGGTTATTTTTCATGATGTTTAAAGGCAGTCTGATAAACTCTGGAATCAAACAGACACTGAGTCACTTCATGTCCTGACCAGGTCCTGATAACTAGTGATGACGGTTTATTAGTTACAGTGAGAGCAGGTCAGAGTGGAGGAGGAAACAGAAACTCCAGCTCGACACAAACCAACAGCAGCTTCTGCTCTGATCATGAAGAAGCTGATCACTGAGCAGCTGTGACCAGAGGAACTCTGTGTTTCACTGTTTCCACTCTTCTTCAACAAAGTATCTGACTTCTTCATGAACGTAGCTCATGAAGAGGTCAGCTCTGAACGTAGCTCTGACCTAGTTTAACATAAAGAATTCAAAAGGAGGGAAATATATAGATATACAGGGCTCCAGACTAACTAAGGCTACTAGCTAGAGTGCGCTTAGTGCACATCATTCAGTACATTGAGATTATGCAGAGATCTGTAAAGAACGTCAAGGGCAGATTTAAATCTTGGTAAAGCTTGAGTTGACAAGAGGCCAAATAATTACAACACTGTGTCATCCACATACAAATGGATATTAAAATTCTGTTGAAAGTGATTATAGTGTTTAGGTCGATGTAAATAGTGAAGGACCCAGCACATACCCTTGCAAGAACATGTGGATGAATTTGTGCATACACACTGTTTGTGAATGAGGCCCAATGTTATGATCATATAATTACACTCATGTGCTCCTACGCTGTGTAATGTTTGTCCCAGAAAGGACCATGGAGATGTAGAGGGGAAACTGAGGACAGAAGAGGAGAGAGGTTGCAGGATGGACTGGACACCTCCTCTCTCTTGTGTCGCCCCTCGCAGGCCTACAGAGTCAGGCTCCAGGATGAGAGGCAGGTCAGCGACCACATCTCCACAGCAGAGAGGCTCCATGACAGCACCAAGGCTCCAGACACATTCCCAGCATCTCAGGCTGCACAGCTGCTTCTTCAGACCGAGGCTCTGCTGCTGGAGCGGAGGGACAGGCAGAGACTGGCCAACAGGATGCAGCTGCAGGAAATGATTGGTGAACTGGAAGGACTGGTGTTGATACCACCTTAGTTTTCATTGAATGATGAGATTTTAAGGACCTGTCTATGAGATATTCTTTTCAGCATTAATAATAGAATTTATATATATATATATATATATATATATATATATATATACGGACATAAAAACGGATATATATGTATATATATATATATATATATATATGTCTGTGTACAGAGCCATCAGGTGTAATTAGCCCAGCTAAATTTAAAGGTTAGAAGGGGAAACTATGTGTCCATTTCATCCTGTACAACACTGAAGCCAAAATATCTTGGACATGTGTGCTGCCATCTTGTGCTGGAGAGGATCAGGGGAATAGTGCCACATTATCATGGTCCAGCTGATCAACTTATCAGATAAATGCTCTTAAACCTACATCCGTGTAATAAGAACTAGCTAAAAAGACAGATTCTCTTTAATAAACACTATTTTCATGTGATAAATTGGGAGTGAAATTTCTTGAATTTCCCAAATTGCTAACATGGATTTATGGCAGCTAGCAGGGGATCATGCAGATGTTTTGGCTTCCCTTTTGGAGAGACGTCATCCAATATTTTTGTTTTATTGTAATGGAGGAAACAGCTGGCCTGGCTCTGTCCAAGATTGAAACAATATGGAAGCAAAAACGCCTAAAGGTCACTAAATCTCATGTTTCTCAATTGTTCTATAAAACAGAAATGTAAATGTCAAAGTTTTAGGGGGAGGGGACCTGAGTTTTACAGTGAAAACAGTGAGTTGTAAGAATATGGCAGGTGTTTTAATCTGCTTCTAGATAAGGTCCAGTTTAAATCAGACCAATTGATAAAAGTTCACAGACCCTCGGACCTTGGCTTAAAACGTGGAAATGACCTTGTTTCATGTGGAATATGAATGTCGGGGCTTGCGGACACTTGGATGACACTACATGAGCAGTATGGATGCATGTTTTTTCTGTTTTTTTTATTAGTCTGAAGAAGGACTCACCATTGAGTTGACGTTGATTTGGATTCTGCTGCAACAAAGTTTACCCCTGAAACTCCAGAAGTGTTTTGTGGATTAGAACACTTCCTTCCATCGGCACAGTGTTGTGAACATTTGTAAATTTAAAGGCTATCGTTCGTGCGCATGCGTAGCACTGAAAACTTCAGTCCACGCCCACCTGTTGTGGGCCACACCTCGCTCTCACCTTGAGTATAAATTGGCCTGAAACTAATCGTCGGTTCCCACTTTGCTTCATCGAGCCCGGAAGAAACTCTCCACGATGTCGTTCGACGGATCCAGAGTTTGCCCAGTCTGCCAAACGGCACCCACAATGCCTTTCGACCTGCACGGCCGCTGTGAGTCGTGCCTGGGACCGGAGTTCGTTGGAGAGGCGCAGACACCCCAAGCAGTGTACCCCTACTGCCATCCCCTTACTGCGGTGGAGGAGGCTGCTCCCGCCGCCTATGGAATCCCTGGGCTGACCATCTCACCCAACACCTGCTTACCGGCCATAGGCTCTCTTCTCCGTGATCTGCCGGGGATAATTGAGAAGGCTACCACCTACAAGAATCCACCTGTTCCTCCGGCACAGGGTACCGCTCCAGCCGACGACATATTGGGGCTCCCCGCTTCTGCCCGACGCGACCCTGTCTGGCCCCGCTTCCCTGCCATCAAAGCCTTCCAGTCCGGAGCGGCGGCGGAGCCCGGGAAACTGAAGGCGCCGGTGTCTACCTACTCTCCGATCACTAAAGTGGAGGACTTTTCGGAGCACGGCTTCCCTCCCGTACCCCCCCTGGAACCCAGCCTGTGTGCCATGTTTGGGGTCAGATGCAACCCGCTCGGAGGACGGCGACCTACTCCTCCCTCCGCCGCAGACCAGATGATCACGAGACATTCAGACCGGACTCATAAGTGCGCTGTGCAAGCATCGGCAGCGGCCAACAACATTGCTTTGCTAGCGTTCTCCTTATCCAGGCTAGCTACCGAACCTGATCTCTTGCCGTCGGAACGGGCAGAGGAACTCGGTGACGCCTCCAAAACAATCCTCACCCTCTGCGCTTCTGTCGCCGCCGCCACCGCCCGCATCGCAGCTTGGCAGACGATGATCCACCGGAGCGTCTGGCTGGGCCTCTCATCTTTGCCTGATGCTTTAAAGCAGGAGCTCCTGGATGCCCCCATCAGCCCGGACGGGCTGTTCGGGCCCCACCACCAGTCTGCGGTCGACCATATGCAGAAAGCGTCCGAGGAGGCAGAAAAGATCGGTGTGCACATGGCCCGGTCCCAACCTATTACACGCCCAAAACGCTCCAATGATCACAGGCACCGGTACCGCCGGGATCACCGACAGAGGCAGAGATGTCCTGACCCGGCACCGTCTGGCCCTCCTCCACCTCAGCGATCGCCTCCAGCTGCACAGCAGGCACCGTGATGAAGGAACCGAAACCTCCGCATGGCCGGGTCCTGACCAAACCCTCCCCAGTAGCCACCGAGGGAGCAGGGACGGAGACAATGGCGGGATGGGGAGGAGGGTTGTATGTTAAACAAGTGTTTTTGATATGTTACCCGTTTTGAAATAAAACGTAAAAATCACCTGAAGGGCAATTATTCCTCATAAACACAGTTTGATCTGATGACCCAGCTGCAGCTGTCACACGCACACCCTCAGGCCGTGTGAGCCGACCCCCGTTAACCTCTCGGTTGACAAGCAGCACGGACTCACGTCACTAAGTCAGTATCCTCTGTCCCACACACACACACACACAAGCTCATGTCATCAAGTGTGATCATGAGCCCACGAGAGCCGTGTGGATGTCTGCGCTCAGGGCCGCCAGAGCCTCTTACACATCCTAATGGACCGCTGGTGTGTAGATAAGAGTCTGGATCCCACTGCGTCTCCCCTGTCTCACGTGCTGTCATCCCTCCAGCTTTTAAAGGATGGTTAAATCACACCTTACATTTTTGGTGACATATCAGTGTTTAGTCATCCCCCGACGAAGCGTTTCCTGAGAGGCGTAAGGAGAAACAGGCCGGTGTCACGTTCCTTAGCCGCTCAGTGGGATCTGGCGCTGGTTTTACGCGCACTGGTGAAAGCTCCATTTGAACCTTTGGACCAGATTCCGCTTAAGTTTCTGTCAGTCAAAACGGCTCTGCTGTTGGCACTGACATCTGCAGAGAGAGTCAGTGACTTATCTGCTCTCTCTGTGGCTCCTTCTTGTCTCCGGATTCAAGGAGACTCGGCTATTTTGCGCCCTAACCCGGCTTTTGCGCCTAAGAACACCTCAAGCTCCTTCAGATCGAGAATGATCTCACAACTCAGAGGAAGAAGCCACGTCTCATCTCCTGTGCCCAGTACGCGCGCTGTCCTGCTACGCTTGCGCGCACTGCCGTGGTGCGACATTCACAGCGCATGTTCGTCCACTCCAGAGAACACTCTCAGGGATGGACCCCCACAGAGCATCAGAGCGCACTCCACCAGAGGAACAGAGGAATGTCCACCTTTGCGCTCTGCACGGGGGAATGACAGTGGAAGACATCTGCACCGCAGCTTCCTGGTCTTCACCATGCTCTTTCATCCGTTTTTATCTGCGGGATGTCTCCCGTTTCTCCATGACTCACTTACTTGAGTGTTTTGTCAGAGTGATGGATATTGGATGTTTCTGTTGTGCGCTCTACCTGTCCTCTGTCCTCGCTGGACTGTTACAGTGCATAACTTTCGTCTGCCACTAATCACAGCAGTATGCGTCATTTGTCCCCAGCCTCATCCCATCATAGAGAATGATTACATATTCTTATGCTGTGCCATGCCGGCATGGTGCTATATGATGCGTCATTACGCATAAAGCAGTGTGTCTGATAATGGATGAATGGTTATTAAAGTAGATGTGTTTATGATAGTGGTACTGTATAGACCCAGTGAGGCATGGACTACATCGTGCTTTCCCCTTTAGGCCACTAGCAGTAGCATAAGGGACAAAGCCTATACTCATAAAATCATAGTCAAACACAAGCTACAACCATCAGAAACATTATTTACATCTTTATTCATTAAATTGAATAACATCAACTTATTCTCACATTTCTGAAGTGTTCATTTGGCAATAAATAAAATAGCTAAATAAATTAATAACCTAAGCAATGGTAATGCATCAGGTTTCTATGTCTTTAAATGTGTCCTGACCCTTAATGTGTGGTATGTTGACTGAGCGACCAATCATTCAGAGACTTGGTGCATCCCTTTTAAAAGGCATGTTGCCAGTGTACAGTACAGACGGTTGTTTTTCTTTTTTTTTAGGAGCTGTAAGAACTGAATGATCATGAAGAATTCACCACCAGTAATTTCTGCATGTAGGAGTTGAGCCACTTCTGTCTCTCCATGGAGGTGAGGAGCTTGCTCTTCTCTCTGAAAGCAGCATCATCAGCCACCACCATGTTCCTCTTCACCATCCCGGCTCCCTGAGATGACCATTCAGCAGGCCACACCTTTTCTATTCTGTCGGCACACAGACACATGACCAGGAGATTAGCGACCAGAAACCAATACAGGTACCACTTTCTTTTGTTTATTCTTAGTAATTAAAAATAAATTAAATAAATAAAAAAGTAAAAAAAAACATCCATAAAACTAAAACCTTTTTAGAAGTATTTTGATTTCCATTTACAAAAGCAACCCAAACTGAGAATAAACTACTATTTGATTGGAGTCAAAACTGTGGCTGCTTGGACATAGTTTAGAAAGGAAAATGTATAAGGTCCCACAACACAACTTTTACAACATGAAACAGTAATTAAAACTGATTTCTAATCACATTAATAAAGATCCTGTTGTATTTAGGTAAGAGTCTGCTGGAACACAATGTCCTCGCTTATTGGGGAAACATTTGGAGCCAGGAACCCTTCTACAGTTGGCTGTCCAGTTAAACTGTGTAACCCAGCAACGCGTGCCTAGTTTGACACTCTGGGAAATGTGAAATTAGATTTCTTATTGAGAGTTAGATGAGAGCATTATCAATCTCATGTATGTCTATGGAGCTAGAGACAGGACATGGTTAACTTAGTTTAGCATCAAGACTTAAAATGCAGGGTAACGAGTAAACTGTTGTCCAATGGTAAAAAAAAGTAGACTTCTAAAGTTCACTAATGAACATGTTTTGTCTGGATCATTCTGGAGAATCTATTTGTCATTGTATTTCAAAGAAATTCAAAATTTGCTTGAGTATTAACAGATGCATCCTTCAGATCAGTCAACAGGTGAAATTATAACAAAATAGCAATCAGAACATTACTTATCACAATAATGAATATATCACTGTGTATATTACAGTTTATTATAATATTTTGAATTTTAGTAATTCTTTCTTACTGTGAAACTAGAGTTTTAGTGTCATGACATGATAGATGTAAATGTCAGTTGACAGACAGCTATATAAACAGGAGACTCTACCAAATCCATGAGTAGAGTTTTGTACTGATCTGCCACATCAGTATAACAGTTGTTGTCTTAGTTGCAGATGATCACTGTACTTTTTGAGTAGTTAATTAGTATCAATGTATGAGTGTTATTTTGTAATGTCTTTTTAACATTAAGTTAAAGCAGTTAAGTATTCATTAGTTTTATATGATGGGAACATAACTGTAGTATTTTCCCTCACTATACAGTTACCCTGCCTCTGTCCTCTCTGGGTCAAAGAGCCACGCCTCCTTCATCAGCCCTGCCTTGCTGTCAGCTGCTGCTCCGAGGCTGGGCGTTGACATCATCTGAATGCTCCAATCACGAAGAGAGATGGAAGGGTACAGGATGTCCCGGTCGTGTCGTTTAGTTCCCACTGAGTTGTCAGCACTTCTGGAACCAGATAAAATGACACCGACCCATTTTTGGGATCTTGGGATCCAAAAAGTGCAGCAAAGAAAGTAAACGATGTGGTGTAAGTTCCATTCTGTAGCTTCCATTAGAAAAATATAAATAAATGGGGAAAATGTTTGATTTTCATTCAGGTATGCTAACGTATTAGTTGATCTAGTGAGTAACAACCTGAGAGGTAGTCGAGGCTGAGGGAAGCCGGATGTCACCAAGGTCATACCCAAAATACATAGCAACAGGAAGGACATGCGGGTTAGAGCAGGCTCAACGCAGGCTTCAGACATCCTAAAAATGAAAGACAGTTAAATAGTAAATTTAATATTAACATGCTCTGTATATGTGAACTGAGCTGTGTCTTTATAATAAAGTGATATAAACACATACATAAGCTGCTGGTTTGACAGTTGACAGTCTATGTTCGGCCAACTTTAGTTTTGCTGTTCTAACCTATAGGTAAAAAGAATACATTTATTATTGATGTTGTAAATTTCCCAGTCCCTGGAACTTTCACTCTGGATATTAGTCTGAATGGAAAACTGAATAGAAATAGAGTGTTTTTGAGTACCTTTGTCTTATTTCATTTAATTAAAGTCAAACTGTGACATGATGAGTGTACTGTATATTTAATTATAAAGTCTAACGATGGATTACAAACCTTTTGTAAACATAAATTAAGATTAACAATGTTTTCAAAAGTAGATAATTTCTCATATTGAAATGATGGATATGTCACTAACATGTATTTTAATTAATTCTGTTGTTTCAAGTGTTTTATTTTGAAGCATGATAAAACACATGGCACGCTTACGTTTCTCTTTATAAAAATAAACAAAATGTTCATGGGTCAAAGGAAAAATAGGATTTCAAAATGACAATGATAACACCTGCCTAACATCACTTGCACAATGATCTTACATGTGTTGGTTCCTTCTGTGTCATGAGAGAGTTTGTCAAAAATTCTCAAACTCCTTTAAGTTTCTAAATCCGATTCTCTTGAGGTGAAATGTGTCAATCACTTCTAAATGTCAGGACCTCTTAATGTTCCGAAATAAAGTTTCTTTTTTTGAAGTAATAAAAATAAATAAGCAAAATGTAATTATCCAAGAGATCTTCAACCCTCTGATTGATACACATACAATTCTCTTCCAAGACGGGTTTGTTTTTGTACATATTATATTTTACACATTAACAGTACAGAGTAAAAAATCCCCGAAAGATGTCATCACATCTGTTTTCCACTCAATGCTTTAAAAAAGATAACATCAGGTTGCTCATCTGACAAAGATGTTGGGACCTAAAAGGGCCAGAAATGTTCATTCTGCTCTGAGGACCCATACATACGCTGCTCCTGACAGCTCAGGTTTGTTTTGTGGTGTGTAAACATTTTTAAGAACCAGCAACAGATATCGTAAAGACATTGTGGTCCAATACAAAACCTGTACTGGACAACAACTGTTGAAGGTCTATATTTTATACATCAAGTTCATGTCTAACTGGAACCATTCATCATCACAGTCAATAATCACACATATTTGTCTTTGCAGACTCCTAAAAATCGAATATATATATTTTATATCTTGAGTCACCCAAACGAAATAATATACGGACAGTCCAACATGCCAGAAGTAAAATTGGATTCTTTGCAAGCTGTTGCTTATACAGAGTTGGTCCATTTGCAGACAGTGTGCTGGTTTCTTACCTTATCTTCTCTGATGAACGCGTTGGTCTGTTTGTCAATCGTTTGCACCAGCGAGCAGCGAATCTGAGTTGGGCTTCAAAGGTTAGAGGTCAGCCATCATCCAAGCCCAGAACCACCACCTAAGGAAAACACCAACCACAACAGCAGGAATTACTCTCTCCAGGCAGGTAACTTATTTGTTTGTTGCTCCCTTTGGACCATTTATTTCTAATTTCTGAACTTTGGATAAAAACGTATTCGTCTCCTTTTCGTGTTGTTTGTACGACAGGGATTGAAAACATCCAGTTTCTTGCCTGACATACTTATATACCCTGGACTGTAGTGTGTTAACCCCCATCCCCCAAACCCACCCACACATATACACAAGCTCACACACCCCTCACCAGATCAAACCAACTCTGAGTTTGCATTTGAGGGAGCGAGAGGAAAACCCTCGACCCTCGCGTTGTTAGCTTGTTAGTGTCCCGTTTCAAAGACTCTTGGTCATTGTGCTGTGGTAGAGAGCCCAGCAGCTTATTACTGAAAATCATTATAGTGTGTGTGTGTGTGTGTGTGTGTGTGTGTGTGTGTGTG